TATATGAATTAAGGTAGAACAAGAAATATTTTTATCACACGAATAATATTTACATAGATCAAAATCAAAATAATCAAAGACCTCTTAAAAGCATTTGCTCATAGTTCTCCATAGATTCAAGCCTTTGAAGGAGAAGTTGGTGTTTGAATTTCTTGATAAATGCTTCTGCACTTTCGTTGATATCCATCGATGGTTTACTCTCTAGCTTATTTGCAGTCGCAACAGCTTCTGTCAGTGATGATGATGGTATATTCTTCGACTTGGTTAAAACTTTCTTCTCTCTGTCCGCCATTGTAGATCTACCATGAGAAGGACGCATGGAAAAGTTGCTCTTCGTTGTTGGAAATTGCTGCTTGGTCTGCTTTCTCTTCTGGCTTAGCTTTTTATGGTTCTTGTATGCTCGTGAACCCTCTTATTTATAGTGAAGCCAAGCCAATGATTATAAATTTTATATTATAATGTGTGTGTGTGTGTGTGTATATATATATATATGTGTGTGTGTGTGTGTATATATATATATATATGTGTGTGTGTGTATTACATGTGGGAATTTTTTTGGGATTGGGTGGCCAAATCTGAAAGTTGAATGATGACCACAATTTTCAAAACCAATGAATAATTACATAATTAACTTTTTCTTCTTATCGTTTTTGATTTAATTGGTTGACTTTTTTATGGGGTCAAACTAAGCAGCAGCCTCAAGTTACGCACACGCATGTGGCTTAAGCAAATTTTGACCCAAATATTTTGTTCTTGTCTACCAATACAAGTTTAATTAATTAATTAATTAATTAATTAATTTAATGAAGACCATTAAACTCTAATTATAAACACATCATGCATGCAAACAAACTTTATATCATCATTATCAAATTTATGTTTTATTTATATATTTCTATTCAAATTCATTAAAAGATATATAATACAGAAAAAAAATGTCGAAATTTATTATTTTACATAAATTAAAAAATAATTAACTACTAAATTAGGGATAATTAGTTCTTTATTTTACATATTTATTAAAATAAAACAATTAAATATCGTCAAATTCACTATTTTATTATTCAAAAATTAGTTTTTATTTTTTATTTTTTTTTTTTATTTTTTTACTAAAAAACTATTTTAATCCATATCAAAAATTATCGATTCGATCTAATAAGAATTAAAATTAAACTAATTTAACTTCTATCCTCAATATATTATTAATATTATTAGATCTATTTTGATTTCAGACTGATAAATACTTTTAACAAAATTATAATTTGATTTTTTTTTTATAAAAAATGTTACGATATTTATGTAATTAAATAACATGTTAAATAATAATTATACATGTAGTATATCAAATAATAGTTGCATTTTCAATATTACTAGTAAAGGTAGTCGTGGCAAATTAAAAATCATGGGAGGAAGCCGAAATATAAGGTGGTGAATGATTCCAAAAATAATTGAATATAATTAGAATTTTATAAAATGAACTACAAGAATTATTAGGTGTATGGCATCTACACCTAACTCTTGCCTAACTGTAAATGATTGATTAGTACACTATGCGCACGTGCTGTATTATTAAATTCTTAATCCTTAATTAAGTATTGTTAATTAATTAATTAGTTTATTATATAATATAATTAGATTAAATTAAATTGGTACATTGCACATGATTGCCCTCAAATTATGTTTGTGTCATGTGTGACAAGTTGTCATCTTAGGGATGGTTTAATTATGTTTATATGGCCGGTCGGTCCACATAAATTATGCAATAAGTTGCAAAACTATTGGTTACCAAACATGAGTTTAATATTATTTTATTATTTATTTATATTATTAATTAGTTTAAAATAAGAAAATTACAGTGGACCCTCTACCTAGTGGGTCCGATTGTTATGTATTGATTCGTTAAGGCCCAACTCCACATATATCTGCGAGCCCAATAATTATTTAATTTTAAAAAAAAATCATATTATTTTGTTATTTAAAAATAATAATTTAATTATTAATCGACTTAAAAATTATAAAAATTTAAAATAAAAATATTATTTGTTAATTAATTACAAATACATACAGTAATTATATATTAAAATTTTATTTAATCGTAAACCCTTAAATTATATATTATACAAACTTTTATTTTTTATATCTTATGTATCATACAAATTATTCATTATACAACAATGCATGGGATTTTTTTTTTTTATATTTTAACAAAAATATTTACTTCAATTTATTTTTTATACAATTTTTCTAGAATTAAATTCTATATATATTATAGACTAATCTAATCAAAATTAAAGTTAACTTTTTTAAAAAAAATACATAAATCCAGGAACAAGTTTTCAAGAATTGCTTCTAATTTTAGAAATACTATGTAACACCCAAATCATTTTTTTTTTGTATTATTTTTATTTTTATTTTTGTATTTGATTTTTAAGATTTTAATTTAATTTAATTTCTTATTTAATGAAAATAAAAATAATAATAATGATAAAATTGGGTAAAATTATTATTTGGATTTAATTGAAATTGATTTTGGGAAAAAATGGTGAAAATTTAGATTCTGGAGGTGTTTTTGAAAAGAAAATCGGAAATCGGAGGGTCAAAACGCAATTTGGAAAAGTTGTGCTACGTCATCAGCTACGTCAGCAACCCGGTCAGCAGTCCCGACCAACAAGGACACGTCGCGTGGCAAGAAAACGCTGACACGGGACGGGCCACGTGGGCGATCTGCGTGCGCGCGATCGGACGACCCATATTCGTTCCCGCGCGCACAGACGGCTCAGATTTCACACGTACGGACGGCCCAGATTCAATCAGGCACGGATGACCCAGATTTAATCTTGATGGAAGGTTGAGATTAAAAAGTGAATGGTATAAATAACCCCACCCACACCTGACCACAAAACCCTAGCCGCCAGTGCCTCGCTGGAGAAGAAGAACCAGACGCCGGAGGAGCCGGCCGCTGCCACCCGCCGCCGCACCGGAGAATTTTACGACCATCAATCGAGGTAAATTTTCTCTCCCTGGCTCGTTTTTTGATGCCGAATTCGCCTATGGTCAAACCGGAGCAAACCACCGGCCAATTGCCCGAAAAACCCCACCGAAGTCCAATGGCGCCGTTGTGGCTTCCCTCTGCTTTTGCCTCCGATGAGGCCCTTCCCGGTCTCTGTTCGATGCAATTTTTATACCACTGTAATCACCGTTCTTTTCTCTACAGGTTACCCAGAGCAAAACATCAAAACGCGACTCACGCTGGAGAAGCCGCCGCACCCGAAAGCACCGCCGCCGGTAAGCCTCGATTTTTCGTGATTTTTTGGCTCACCGAGGGCCCTAGGGTTGTTTTATCGCAGGGACCAATGCAAGTTTGACCAAATTCAGCCAAAAACGGCCAACCTGAGCGGATCGCGGCTGCAAGCGACGGCGCCCACACTGAGCACGACGGAGCTGCCGTGCCAGATTTCTGATATTGGTCGAAAGGGGGTCC